CATTCTACATAGAGGGACCACCAGACTCATGCTGACGATCAGTGGTTTGTTTCCCTCACATATTCCCAGCCTTTTGAAGGAAGAGATTGGTTTCATCCGTGTTTGCATCCCCAGTACCTAGGATAGGTGTACACTAGGTGCTCAACAAGTGTCCGTGGGATGAATGAACTAGACTTTACCCCAGAGCATGTTAATTCTGTTCTTGTTTGTGGATATGGGCTCTAAGCAGTGCCATGTAACTCAGTGAATGACAAAACAGAACGGAGGATAATGGTCCATATCAGCTATCTATATATACGTAGTTTTACAAACCATGCCAAAACTTGGCAGTTTAAGGCAACAACAACCTATTACTCCTTGTGATTCTGTGAATGGCCGAGTGGTTCTTCTGCTACCGTCTCCTGGCCCCACTCACATAGTTGCATTCAGCTCATGGTCACTGGGACAGTGGAGATAGTGGTCCTGTCCCCTTCACTGGCCTTTCATCCTCAAAGAGGCTACACTGGGCTTCCTCATCACATGTTCATGTCATATTTTCTGACGTCTCAGTGGCCAAAGAGAGTTGCGTGGCCACGTCCAGACTTGGTGCAGTTGGGGATCCCACAAGGACGAGCAACTGGGAGGCATGATTCACCGGGGCTTTGGATGCTTCAGCCCACCGCCGGTCAGCAGGTGTCTGCTTGTCACAGTGGAAGGGATGGTACATGCCAGAGTCCTTGTTCTGGAGACGAGGGACTGGGGCCAAATTTCTGAAGTCCCGTAGGGCAGCGGTTGGAGACCTCGACTTGGCTGGACTTGGAGCTGGAAGTGCAGGGCTTGAATCAGATGAAATGAATCCGATATTTACTTCATAGGTTACCTCCAGCATCAGAGGCAGTAATGGTTGAAAGCAGGTTGCAAACTTCAGAGGAAGAGAAAGCAATATTTTTAGGGAGAAAACCCAGGTCAGCCCCACAGCCATCTTCAAGACCGCAGCAAAGCTGCTGTCACCAGATAATCAGAGAATGTGAATCCGCGCTCCCCTAACCCCAGGGGTCCCTGTGCCCCAGAGGGACAACTCGCTGAGTGTCTAAAGATGGGATGTGCTTCATATACGCTCGTTTGCCTTGGGCTCTTTCCTGTTACGATCTGTATGAGCTAAGTTTAGGCTTTGTCACGAGTAAGAGCAAATCAAAATGGAGTGACTTGAATGACATGGGAGTTTTGAGTCCGAAGCTGAGGTCATCGATGGGCAGTTCTGTCCACACGGTGCGGCCCCAGGGCCCTTACTGCTCACCACCCCGCACCCTCGGGATGTGGTGTCAATGGCGGGATCCAAGATGGTGGCCCTCTCACGTCTTTCATCTGCTCCTCCCTCCAATAAAGGCAATTTCTCAGGTGCCCGGTTCGTACCAGGAAGAGACCACGAGGTGCTACACGTGTGAGGTGAGCAGTCAGCCCTCTCGAGGTCCTGAGGGAAGGAGGCAGAGAGAAGGTCTTCAAGATGTTGGGGAGGAGAAGCCAGATGTGAAGTCCAAGTAATGGCTCACCTGGGTCGGGACAGTGTTCGAATCACACAAAGTGGGTCCAGCGATATTTACTTCAAAGTGAAATATGAATATAGGAAGACTTTCTACTACCTTCTTCTCATGTGCCGGTGAATCATCCCGTGCGCCGCTTACTCGCCCTTCCCCGTGGGGACCACCGCTCTCAGAGACCTGTATCAGTCACCTACCACTGCCAGGAAAATCACCACAACCTTGGTGCTGTAAAGCCACACAAACTTATTGTCTTCTGGTTCTAACGGTCAGAAATGATGCATTCAGGATGGGGGCAGGGCTGTGTCCCTTTTGGAGTCTCTAGGGGAGAGTCCGTTTCCCTTCCTTTTACCAGGACGCTGCCTGAACTCCTTAGCTTGTGACTCCTTGTCCTCCGTCTTCAACGCTAGCAGTGTAGTATCTTCCAGTCTCTCCCCCACACCCCTCTCCTCTCTCCCTCCCTTCCTCCCTCCCCAACAAGTCCTTCTCTGTCGCTGACCCTGCTGCCTCCCGCTTATGAGGACCGCTGGGATTGCACTGGACTCGCTGGATCATCCATGTTAATCTCCCCATCTCAAGATCCTTAACTCAACCACACCTGCAATGTCTCTGTTGCCCCGTAAGGTGACATTCACGGGTTCCGGGGATTAGGCCTTGGACATCTTGGGGGGCCATTTTTCTGCCTACCACACTACCCGTTCATTCAACCAGTATTTATTGTGCACCTACTATGTGTTGGGTACTATGTTAGTTGGAGTCAAACGGTCATGGCTCCTGCCCTCCTGGGCGTAGTTCTTCATCTGTTAAAGATAAGCACCAGCTGATAAGGCCCAGAGCAGGTGAATATGTGCAAGAATATGGCTACCGCCCCAGGAGTTCAGCTACATGACTGGAACTGGCCTCAGTGCCATAAAAGGGAGGGACTTTTTACTCTTCAATGACTCTCCCCCGATCCCCCTGCATTCTTTCCCCAGAGGGTCATCCCCTCTGTCCCTCTGGCCAGACAGGGAGGGTTTCTCTTGGAGCTTTCTCTTTTCTTTTCTTTTTAAAGATTTTATTTGTTTATTTGACAGAGAGAGAAAGAGGGAAAGCACAGAGGGAGAGTGACAGGGAGAAGCACACTCCCCGCTGAGCAGGGAGCCCCACGTGGGGCTCAATCCCAGGACCCTGGGACCATGACCTGAGCTGAAGGCAGATGCCCAACTGACTGAGCCACCCAGGCTCCCCTGTCCTGTGAGTTTTGATGGGCCTCCTCCATTTGCCTGCTAGTCTTTATTTTTCATGTATCTGTGTGATGTATTCTATGTAGGGGTTTCAGTTATCATCAGTGAGAGAAACAGAGCGGAGTGTGCTTATTTCATCTTAGCCAGACCCAGAGGCTGGAAGAGTTACTTTTCTTTCAGTGAACCCAAAAAGAGGAGATGTCAGCCTTCATGGCTTTGAGATGAAAGGATAAAGTAAAACAGTAAGACTAGGACCTAATCCCTAATCCTTGGGCAGGAGCTGGGACAGGAGGTTTATTCGTTTGAGCCTCGATTCTTTGAGGGTCCACGAGCGGAGCCGGGGGGCTGTTAGTTCCCGTCAGAAAGCACGAGAACCTGTGTGGCAAGGCTCACGGGAACGTCTGTCTCTCTGGCTCGCCACTCCCCACTCTCAGCGTCGGAAAAGCAACTCTGTACGTGAAGAGTTCACTGCAGTGGATGCTGGAGTACCATAGAAAGGCTCTGGCATGGAGAGGCTGTTTGATTTAACAGAAAGTGGGGAAAAATAGGAGATAAGAGACAAGAGAGTTGTAAATCGTTGTTATGTATTCTGTGACTGTAACAGTGTGAATCATGGGCCAGAAATGGGCGGAGATGTGTAACAATGAGAGTGATGGTGTTAGGGAAATGGAAGCGTGGGAGATTATGGGCGTCTTATTGTTTTCTTTTTCAAACATTTACTTAATGTTGACTTTTCAAACGTGGAAACGCTAGGACTAACTGCCGGCCGAATGCCTGTTGGCTGTGTTGCTTTCCCAGTTCATCATTTGGGAAGGCCCCCTTCCTGATTCTCACCCCTCACCGACCCCCGATGACGCGGTGCTGTGACCCGTTCCTACATCGCTTTGTCCCCCTCCTCCGGATCCTGACGGGACACTTCACAGTTCCTGCTTCTTTGATTTTCAATCTTCTGTGGCAGGCATGAGTGAATGCGGGGAAGGGCACTGTATCTTCCTGCTCACTGATGGCTCCTCAGGGCCTACCTACCCAGGGCCTAGCCCATGCTAGGTACCTACTGTTTAGAAGCTAAATACTCAAGTCTATGCATGAAAGACAACACTCCACAGCTAAGATTTCTTTTTGCACTTTATTTGGCTTTTTTGGTCTCAAGCACCTTTCTGTACCCACCTATCACTTTCTCTCCATATTGACAAACCCTGTCCAAATCTTTCCGCCAAACCAAAGCTGGGCAGTACGGGGCATTGAGTTGGCAATCAACCAAAGGAGAAGCCCAGTGATGAAAAAGTATTCGGCAGGAAAGGAAACTCAGAACTCAGATTTTGGTTAAGGCTGTCCTTGTCAAGAATGGTCAGAAAAGCCTGAGGGATTGGGGCCGAAGGGGTTCCAGTGGTGTTGCTCTGTCCAGAGGTGTTCCTCTCTGGCCCACTCCTACTGTGACATAAATTCAAACACACACGTGCTAACTCACGCGCACTTTCATTTATCTAGGGGCATTTTGAGTTTGTTTCATCCTGGAGGCAAGTACAGGGAATGGCCCAAACCACACAGCTGTACGTTATCACGGCAGGCTGGAAGTTGTTCCAACCCAAACAGCCCTAGCACAAAAGGGCTGGAAGAGTCCTCAAGCGTATCTACTCCTAACAACTTCTTCTGCAAGCGACACTTACATTTCCTTAACAACAGTCAAGACAAGCAATCGCCCCGCGTTTGCTTGAGCACTCTGAGAAACCGCGAACTCACCTTCTGTGATGGTTAATTTTATGTGTCAACTTGACAGGGTCACGGGGTGCTCAGATTTTGGTTAAATGTTATTTTGGGCATGTCTGCGAGGGGCCTTCCAGACAAGGTCAGCGTTTGAGTTGGTGGACTGAGTAAAGCAGATCTCTCTCCCCGATGTGGGTGGGCCTCAGCCCATCTGTCAAGGGCTTGAATAGAAAACAAAGAGGCAGAGGAAGGGAGAATCTGTCCTCAGCTTTACTGGTTGAGCTATGACGTGGGTCTGCGCCCCCGAGTCATTCTTAATACTGTTTTGTTTTTTTTTTTTTTAGTTGAACAGAACTCACTTTGCAGTCCCTGCCCCAGCCACTGGAAAGTTACTTCTTCCACGTCTTGATCCCCTTTATGCCTTCTAACACACATCCGATCCTCTGAGTTGGAGACAGTTTCAGGGATGGGACGCAGTCTGGGAGGGGCAGAACCTGGAGGATGGTGCGCTGGTATCAGCTTCTTGAGCCTGAGATCCACAAGGCCACGCCAAAGGTTGGTCACAGGTATGTATTAGGAGGTACAAAGAGTCTTTCCACTAAATTCCGAAAACCTTCATCTAGGACCAAAGCCCAAGGCCCCTCAAGGCCCCAGGACCTAGGCTGAAGGCAGCTCGAGGCTACGTATGGAACTAGCACCTCAGTCTGTGGCTTCCTGTCCCTGTGTCCCCTGTTTCTTATACTGTTTTCCTCTGAGAAAAGCTGTCAAGTGCTATTTCCCCAATTTCATTTTGAAACCATGGGCTAAGTCATGAAGGAGACAGGCCGTTGATCCAAATAGAAGAAGGGTGGATCTACAGAAACACAAGCTGAAATCCCTTCCACCTTCCAGAAGACTTTGGAGACTCAGCTATGAATAAAACCCAAATGGTTGTGACATTAGATTAGCAAAGGTTTATTTTTAAATACTTAATACTATTAACCATGTAGGGAAATCTTTGGTTTCCTGGAATGGTGAGATCATCCATTTAGATGACCCCATTTTTGACATAATTGTCCAGAGTGGAGGCGGGGTCTGGCTCGGGCCTTCTGGTCACCTTAGTGTCAGATGCAGCTGAGTCAGTGTTCTCCGGTGGGTATGCCTTGTTCCTTTTGGCGAATGCCTGGCTGATTTCCGCCTGGGTTCTGTTTTTTGTCTCAGGCAGGACAAAATAGAAATAGACAGCACCTGTGAGGCAGATTGCGGCAAAGACCAGGAAACAGTAGGTGCCCAGACTTTCCTGTGGAAAGGAGAGACAAAGAACATCAGGTAGACAATCCCCAAACCAGCTGCGAAACCATCTCCGTACAGGTTTCTAAAGCTCCCCATGCCTATATCAATATTCCTGGATGGCACACCACGCGTGTGACGTGGACTCTAAAGGCGGACAGTGTTGGATGAAGCATCTTCAGAAAATGTTCTCACATGAGCCATGAATACATCAGCTTCCAACCCTGGGACACTCGAGGAAATGGCAGCCTTTTGTCTTCTTTTTTGAAAACTAGGCCTATAAAAAAAATAGTCATCATGACAGCAAAATGTCATACTTGCTGAACGTTATTTTAAGTTCATAGTTACACACCATAAATGAGGGTGTCTGAGGCTGGACCCTGCTGGCTGAAGCCTGAAAGTCATCTGTGACACCTCCTGTCCCCACAGCCGTCATGCGGGACCCACGCACTAAGTCCCAGAGGGCTTCCTTCCTCAGACAGCTCTTCCGTGTCGCCTCCCCTGGCCTGCCCACTCCGGAAGTCCAGCCCAGCGGTCGGCTAGGGCCATACGGGACCACCGGACTCTGCCCTTGTGAGGAAGCAACCACAGATGGTGATCCATAAATGGATGTGCGTGGTTGTACTCCAGTAGAATTTTATTTACAGAAAAATAGATCAGGCGGTGGGCAGGAGTTTGTGGAACCCTGCTTCGCCCAAGCAATCATTGCCTCTCACCTTCTTCACCCGTGTCCCCAATCCACGTGGCCTCTTCCCTGTCTGTTCTCTGCAAGGCAGCCCGGGGAGACTTGCAAAAACATACCTTGGTCATGCCAGCCCCCTACTTAAAACTTTTCAATTGCTTCCCGTGGCTCTTGGGATGAAAACCCACTTCCTTAGCTAGCCCTGGGGAGTCAGGGAGGTCTCTTCTCTGTGCTTCCTCCGCATGGGCCTTGTCACTCCCACCTCTCACCATGCTTCTGCTCACTTGCTGATCCCTCTTCCTGTGATTTTCCACCTCCTCAGCTCCTGTCTCTCTCCTCCAGGGGCCGGTCCTGCCCCAGGCCAGGCCCCTGAATCATCATCTCTCCTGGTTCCATCCTCCTTCCCTGCATGTCGATGGTAACTGCATAGTTAGGTATGTGGCTACTTGATGAATGACTGCCTGTCGCTAGCCAGTACACTCCATGAGGCAGCAGGGTTATGTCTGGTTTTGCTCATCATTGTGGCCCAGTGCCCAGGTCAGTGCATGGACAATAGCAGGTGCTCAGTGGATATTTATGGAGTGAACAAATCAATCAATCTGTCTTTAAGTTTCCTTGTTGCTATGGACTGAACTATGTGCCCCCCAAATTCATATGTTGAATCTCTAACCCCCAATGTGACTGTATTTGGAGATACGGCTTTTGGGAGGTAATTAAGGTGAAATGAGGTCATAAGGGTGGGGTCCAAATCCCATAGGATGGGTGGCCTTATAAGAAGATGGAGAGAGAGATCGCTCTTTCCTTCCCTGTGTACACCGAGAAGCCACAGGAAGCCACGGTGAGAAGGGGGCCAGCTGCCAGCCAGGAAGAAAGCCCTCATCAGAAACTGAGCCAGATAGAGATTCTTAGGCATCTACCTAGAAAAGCAGATCTTGGGCTGAAGTTGCCCTTGGGCCCTAATCGCCTTACAGTTTCAGTCTGTTTCAAAATGAACGCTCTTTGAATATCTATCTGCTTGTTTGCAGTTCTCTTTTCTGAGGCACTTCTTCTGCAGAACAGGAACTTGCAGAAGACCTCGGGCCCCTCAGATAACCCATTTCTCTAGCCCACCTGGCAGGTGCTGCATGCCATCAGGAAGCTGGAACGTAGAAGCTTGAAACAAGCTCCAGGGCCCGACTTACCACTGACTTGCTCCTGCAAGGACCAGACCAGACCAGACCAGCTGGAGCCGCAGTGGACCTCCCTGCCTCCCACAGACTTTCCCCTCATTATAATGCTAAAAATCATGCCCGAGGTGAAGATTTAACATGCAACTAAAGCATATGACATATGAAGAAGGAAGTTCCGGCTATTGCATCTGCACACCCAGCTTCCTAAGTTTCCTAAGTGCTTGGACGGCCCTCCTTTCCCACCTCAGCCCCTTCAAATTCTTCCCCTGGCCATAGTTCAGGGACCCCTTCCACTTTCTCAGTGGCCCTGTCCTCTCTCCTTCAATTCATCCCAGCCGCTCTCTAAGAGATGTCCTCGTAATTACGACTACACCCTTGGGACCCCGTCTCACCTTCTAGCAGGTTGTACCTTTTGTTTTGAGTATATCTAGGATTCTGGGTAGAGGGGGCAGGCAGGCTGGTGTGTTCAGTGAAGGCAACCCACCCCATCCATGCATATCTAGAACCTTTTGCAGGAAGGGGCAGGTTGTGGGAGAGAAGGGGAAGGAGTGGGGAGAAGGCAAGCTTTGAGAGGCAACTTGTCCTGGATGGCTCAGTGAGTTAGGGGCCGTGTAAGCTTCTAGCACTCACCATGAGTTGATCTTTCTGTCCTGTCTCCTCTTCCCAAGTGTCCCTAGGACCACACAGCAGACAGTACTGGTAATGACCATGAGAGTGGCCAATCCTGAGTGTCCATGGGCAGACACTGCTCAAGACTTGACTTCCATCTCTAATTCTTTCGGGAGCCCCACTGCAAAATTGGGGCCATTCTCTTGTTATATAGACATGAAAATTACGGCTCAGGGAGCAATCACAGTTGGACAAATTTGACCAGCATGTGCTTCACCTCACTGCCGAGAGGCACGGTCAGGATTCAAGGTCAGGCTGTCGGACCTAAAGTCTATGCATTTTCTCCTGGGTCTCATTTATGTCTAACGTAGTGCCTGGCACATAAGGGGACTAAGGACAACAAACAGCCGCAGCTGTTACCAGTCACCATCTATCCTCTATTGGAGACGGTTCTAGTGTTACAGGTACCGGGAGTCCCCAGACACAGAGCGTGAGACCGGGGTGTCAGGACATGCAGCTTATCTGGGAGATGAGCCAGGGAGGTACTGAATTGGGGATAGGGTGACCAACTCTCCTCGGCTGCTCCGGACCAAGTGGTTTTCTGGGATGTGGGGCTTACAGGGACAGTCCTGGGCAAACTGGGATGAAGTAGTCACCGTGGACAGGGAAGGAGTTGTGGGTTCAATTGTGTCCCCCCCAAAGATATGGTGCAGTCCTAACTCCAGGCCCTGTGAATGTGGCGCTGTTTGCCAGCTGTCTTTGCAGATATAATCAAGTGGAGGTGAGGTCCTATTAGACTGTGGTGGGCCTCAAAGCTGGGCCCTGGTGTCCTTATAGAAGGAGGCATGGAGACCCACACAAAGGAAGAAGGCCGTGTGCCCATGGAGGCAGAGATTGGAGTGAGGCAGCTACAAGCCAAGGAAGTCTGGAAGCCGCTGGCAGCCCAGAGAAGGGCCTGGAACACACCCTCCCCTCACCGCTTTCAGGAGGAGCCGACTCTGCCGACATCCTGACGTTGTGCTTCAAGCCTCCAGGATGGTGCGAGGATACGTTTCTACTGTTGTAAACTACTAAGTTTGTGGGACTTGGCTGGGGCCGTCCTTATCCCAGCCAGAGGAGGTGACAACAGCAATTGCCAGTGTTGCTCTGTGCCAAGTACTGTTGGCCCTTCACTGTGTGAGCTCAGCCCTCATGCGACCCGCAGGGTCCGTTTGCAGATGGGGCGATCAGGACAGCCCGTGAGCCCAGCCCAGGCAGGCAGTCCCCAGTGCCTGCTCGTGACCTCAGCAGGCTCCGTTCTCCATGGGTGAGGCGAGAGTGGAGGATTTTCCGTTTTCTAGTTGGGGAAACTGAGGCTCAGCACGGGCAAGGACCTAGCCCAGGGCCCCCTGCTGATGCGTATGACACAGTGAAGTTCTGAGTCACGTCACCGTCAGCAGCCGTGTGGGCTCGGATATTTGTTTTCTGGGGGAAGCAGTCTGGGCTCCTTGCATCTTGGGGGCTGCAATACAGTTGCCGCGGACACATTTAGGAAAAAAAATGAAAAGATCAAGGTGCGATTGAAAAATTGCACTTGGTGCCTGTTGAGCCGAAGTGTGTCCACCACCAGGATTCCTATGTCGGAGTCCTAACCCCCAGCACCTCAGAATGTGGCTGTATGTGGAAGGAGGGTCTTTAAAGAGGGGATTAAGGTAAAATGAAGTCCTGTGCTGGGCTCTGACCCAATCTGACTCGTGTCCTGAGAAGAAGAGGAGACTGGGACACAGATGCACATAGAGGGATACTGTGTGAAGACACGGGAACAGATGGCTGTCTACAACACCAAGGACAGAGGTCTCAGAAGAAACTAACTTTGCCAAGACCTTTCTCTCCAACTTCTGGCTTCCAGAACCGTGAGAAAACACATTCCTGTTGTTTAAGCCCCAGTCTGGGGTACATGGTTGTGGCAGCGTGAGCAGACTAAGGCAGGCTCTTGACCGCGGCTGAGCGGACTTCTGGAAGGGCTGTGGGGTGGAGCTGGTCAGCTGTGGAGTCTGCAGCGGCAGAAGCTGCTCCCGCGGGAGGGTCTGGGTGGGTTGGGGGGTGCGAACCAGACCATGTGTACGAGGAGAAGGAAAAAACGGAAGGAAAAGGAGAAGATGGAGAGGAAGGGGAAGACAAGGAAGACTGTCAGCCACTGTCCCCTGCAGAAAGCTGGCTCTTGTGTTCTGCCCCTTTCGAGGGACCCACTCGGTGGAGCGGCTGATACGTCCTCAGCCTCCCCGCCGCCGCCCTCCCTTGCCCGGTGGTGGGAGCTCAGGGGCTCCCAGGCCATCCTGAGTTATAGCGTGCTGTGTGTCAGCCTACTTGCCTAATGATTTCCCTCCGTCTCCCTCCACTGCCCTGTCCTGTTGCCCTCCACCCCCAGGGGCAAGGGCTGAGTTCACAGGCTCCACACCTCCTGACCTACTGTCACTGCTGGACTGGGCAACGTTCCTCTGTTGTCTGTGTTTCTCTGTTTCGCCCCTTCTTATCTTCAGGGCTGCTCTCAGTCCTTCTGCCCTGCGATGTCCTTCTCCCACCTCTGGACAAACTCCTGTGTAAGTGTTTGATGAATGTCCTCAAGTCAACCTGTGCTGTCTCCTCCCTCCATCCTCTAGCAATCCATCAGGCTGTCTATCTATCATCTATCATCTATCTATCATCTATCTATCATCTATCTATCTATCTATCTATCTATCTATCTATCTATCTATCATCTGTCTATCCATCCATCCATCCATCCATCCTTGGATCCCCCAACTACCTGCCCATGTCCCTTGTGTGGCGGCAGACATTACCAGGCAAGGTCAAAGCCAAGGTCAGGTGGTCTCTCTGATGTGGGAGCCACCTAGCTCTCTAGCTCTAGCCCCAAAATGCCAAAGGCAGTGAGCAGATCTGAGCCCAATGCCTCTCAGGGCGTGGATCCTTGGAGACCTGCCTTCCAGATCCCCCCCCAACACTTGTCTCTCTTTGCAGCTCCCCTGCCCTTCTCTTTGCCTTGCCCCAAGCCCCCAAACCTAAGCCTGTAAGGAGGGTGCCCACAGCTCTCCTGTGACTCCCGTGCCCTTGATGTGTCTGGGAGGAGGCAGCTGGTCTGGATGTTCTAAGATGTGTCCTGTGTGCACGGGGGCCCTCAGCTTTGTGAGCAGATGGCACCCCTCTTGGCCCTGAGCCCTTAAACTCGGTCCTGGCCTTATTCCCCTGCTCCAGGCCAGGCTCGGAGTGGCCCTCGGGCTGACTTTCTCTGTGAAATCTGGCATGTGAGATCATCCCCACAGCGTGAATGGATGCATTTTTAATCACAGTGACAGTGTCAGCACGCTCAGGGGCTCCTTCGGAGTTCTTGTAGAAGGACCCGCTAACCACTGGGAATCCTGGTCTTGCTTTGCCCTTAGACACTCTAGCACATCACAACAGGCTGTCCCAGAGTGAGCTGTGGCCCCAGAAACCTCTCAGGCACCTAGGCACCCCGCTGGAAGTGAGCCAGTTGGAATGAACATGATCCCCTAAACATGTGGTCAAGGCTGTCAGAAACTGGGTTATCGTGAAAAGGAGTTTGACACACACAAAAGCCCTGGGGGTCAAAGAAGGGCACATGGGGGTGGCATCCATGGGTGTGGCCATGTTCTTCCTCTCACTGGTCTGGAGCCATGGGCAAGTGTCCTGAGCCTGTTGAATCTGACTTTCCTCCTCAAAGAGTGGGCTGTGGCCGTCATTACGGAAGGACACAAGATTTCTGGTTCTTCCCCTCTGGACACAAGGCCCTTTGCCTTTCCCCTGGGGTAAGGTGTGGTGGTGTGGCTTTCACTCAATCTGCACGGTGGTAACCCATGTTGCTGTCAGGTGATGGATGGCCTTAATGGATGGTGTGAGACTTGCCACACTCCTTCCACCTGCTGGGACTGAGTCGGGAGGCTCTGGGGCAGAATCTCTAGTCCCCCCCGCAATGAACACCTAGCATGAGTAAGACAGCATTTTGGCTGGTTTAAAGCCACTGAGACTTCGGGGCTGTTTCTTCCTGCAGCAAACCCAACCCGTCCTGACTGACAAGTGGGAGTAATAAGACCTTCCACGTGATGCACACGGACCTGCCCGTTGTGGCCACTGTCCTCTCCCGCACCCTTCCCTGCCAAATAATGCAGCTGAGCAGGCGGGGCTACGACAGCTCCCCAGAACTCAGCACAAGCTTGGTTCCCCGCACACTGAGTCTGGGGGAGCATCTCAAGGGAGAGACAGCACGACGTTTCTGTTTGGGAGAAGCCATGGATGGGCTGTGGTTTCCCAAATGAACAATGTGAAGGAAAGGTCAGATGGATCCAAGCAGCTTGGAGACCTCCCTGAGATGCGTGCCTGTGTGTGTGTGTGTGTGTGTGTGAGCATGTCTGTGTCTGTGTGTGTGTGTTTAAACATAAATTAACTCTTCGCCCAGTTCAAATGGACTTGTAGGATGGAATCACCTGCTGTATAAACAAGGGCCCCTTCCTCCCCTTGTCTTATAGGCAAGGATGAGAGCCTGGGTTCAAATCCCGCTCTGTCATTTCCCACGGGGGTGACCTTGGGGACCGGCTGCCTCTGTCTAAGCTCCAGGCTGCTGGTCTGTACCAGGGAGGCACGAAGGCCTGACCTCCCAGCACCGACAGGGGATGAGTGGAGCCTGGCACAAGCAAGCGCTCAGCAAATGTCAGTGTTACGGTGGCACGTCTGTGCCGTCCGCTCCCAAACCATGGCGCGAAAGTGAGACGGCGTGTTTTGTGTGGGGGTACAGTGAAATCTTTTACCCTGCCCCAAACTGTGCAGAAGACAGTGGCCTACTACCCAGATATAGAAAGCTTAGGGGTGGGCCAGGTGAGGACTCTAGAATTTCTCCACTTAAATGGTAGGGATGGATCTGCGTTGACAGAGAAGAGGTTTGAAGTTCATTTTTCCCACAACAATGAATATTTTACTGACCCCTGGCTCTGCTGGCTTTGAACCAAACAGGAAGAAGCCATTTCAGGTTTGAAGTCTATTGAAAAGACTACTTGTCATGTTCTGACTGCCCCGGCTGAAGATGCCCGAGGATGGGAGGAAATGGGTGTGGGGCCCAGGGAGTCCCCCATGGCGTGCACGCTCAGAGGCAGGGTGCCCGTAGCTCAGATGCAGTCAATGATACTGTACAAGTCACGTGGTGAGCACACCTCCATCTCTGAGACTAATGAACAGCAGACAGAGAATGTCCACCAGTAAGAGGCCGCAGGGCAGAGGGACCGGGGTGGATGGTGACCGTAGGACCTCGGGCTGATGGCATCTGCTCCCTGAGCCTCAGCCTCTCTGCAGTAAAGCAGAAAGGACAGGAAACCCCAGCTCAGGGCTGCATGGATGGATGTCATGAGCACATGAAAAGCCACGTGCAGGGGACCTGGCGCAGAGTAACTGCTCTATGACGCAGGAGTAACCATCACGTGGGCCCATGGCCAGGGCTGCTGACTCAGCCAAGCTGCCAGCAGAGTCTCTGGGATGTGCTGGGCTTGAAGCTAGTCAATTAAGAGGCAGACTACTAACCGAGGGGGCGAGGGGGAGGGTTGAAATAGCCCCTGAGAAGGGATGGTGGTTCTTCCTCAGAGACATCTGACAGATTCTCACCTCCATCATGGGCAGCGGGGAGCCCTGGGGGCATCAGAGCAGAGAAGCTTGGACTCTCTTTGGAATGCAGCTGGGGGCGCCTGGCTCTGTGCAGAACACTTGTAAAGTCCTTGTCTTTTGCGTTCCTGCCCCCAGAGAACTCTCTGATCTCATTTCCTGCCTCTCCCATCCTCCTTGCTCACTCTGTTCCAGCCACACTGGCCTCTTTGCTGTTTCTTACACAGGCCAAGCATGGCCCTGCCTCAGGACCCTTGCACTTGCTGTTTCCCTGCCTGGACTTCTCCATTCCTGGGCTGCTTCACTTCACTCAGGTCTCTGCTTCCCTTTTCAGCTCCAGGACCACAGAACACAAATTTTTGTTCCCACTCTATCCTCACTGCCTGAAACAGTGCCTGGCACAGAGTAAGGACTCAATAAATACATGCTGAATAAATGAGTGGGTGAATGAATAGATTCTTGACCTACACACAAAGAACTTGTATCCATTTCCTGAGTTCACATTTTCCTGTCTGCCATGGTCACCCTTGGGACAGTGACCCCATCAGTTTGGTTATGATGACGACAATGAGGATGTTAGATGCACGACAAGGTGCACTGTAACTATAACACAGACTTTGTCTAACACCATGACAAGCACATTGCAAAAGTGCAGGTTCGAGATTCTAACCTAAGTTTCCTTGTAGACCCTTGGCGATGGGAAGCCCACTCCCTCTAAGGCAGCCCTTTGTGTTTAGGGGCAGATCCTGGAAGGTGCAGGAGGGAGAAAGAGAATTCAGGGTTGGAGCCAAGGTACATCTCTGCCCTTCTTAGGCCAACAGTGTGAGTTTCCGGTTGAGAGACTCAGCCTCGGCTCTGTGACTCACCCCTCACACAGAGGGCTGCCGGATCAGAGGGCATCCCATGGGCAGGAGACCCCTTGTCAGTCGTACCTGAATGAATGGGAAGAGGAGGCCAACAGCGAAGTTGGAGAGCCAGTTGACGGTGCCTGCAATGATGAAGGCAGCCGGCCGCTGGGATTGCTGGAAGAACTCTCCAGTCAAGATGAATGGGATGCCCCCTGCAATGTCAGAGCAAGGGCAAGAATGAATCCCACTGAGAAGGTCATGCCGCCAGCATCCACCTCCAATGGCAGGGTAGCACCCTCTTCATGAGAGCCGGCTCTGCCTGGGTGAGTGACAGCTTCAGGACTGGGTTGCTGGAGTTAGCCCCTCACTCCTAAAGTATACAGATCAATCCCCTGGCCTGGCCCATCCAAACGAGAGGTGATTCAACCTTTTGGCTCTTTTGGCTCTCCAAATGCCTTCTGAATCAAGCTGTGATCCACTACAAAATGAGCACAGTATGTACAAATTTGATTTACAAGGCAACTGACATTTACTGATACAGTATGTCAGGCAGGTATGGGCTACCATACTTGGGTAAGAAAACTGAAGCCCAGGGGCACCTGGGTGGCTCAGTCGTTGGGTGTCTGCCTTCGGCTCAGGTCAGGATCCCAGGGTCCTGGGATCGAGCCCCGCATCGGGCTCCCTGCTCAGTGGGAAGCCTGCTTCTCCCTCTCCCACTCCCCTTGCTTGTGTTCCTTCTCTCACTGTGTCTCTCTCTGTCAAAAAATAAATAAAATCTTAAAAAAAAAAGAGAGAAAGAAAACTGAAGCCCAGAGAGGTTATTAGACTCCCCCAAGGTTACTCAGCCCCTGAGGAGCAGAGCCAGAACTCTGGCTTGGGACCCCAGCTTCCAAATCACAGCTTTGTTTCCCTGCTAAACCTTGCTTGACAGGATGGAAGCCCCTGCCCAACTGGTGATTGTTTTGTCCTCCTTATCGCCCCGTGACGGGATGTGTGATGGGCTCCACTGGTCATCCCAGCAGTGGAGTGTTACTCAGCGGAACTGTCATTGGCATTAAGGGAGGACAATTCTTTGAGGACTGTCCTGTGCAACTGCAGGATGTCCGTCACCCCTCACCTCCAGGATGCCAGAGATCCCCTGGTCGCTGTGGCAACCCAAACTGCTTGCACACACTTCCAAAATATCTGCAGGGTACTACACCTAGCTGAGAATCTCTAAAGTCTGCACCCTCCTCTTCTGGAACTCAGTGAGACCTGGGATTGGGCCCTGTGCCCAGACCCCGGACCTGGGGCTCAACATGACCACTGGGGGCCTGTTTGTACCCCCTCCCCAGTGGAGTTCCCACTGCCAATCAGATCTACATGTTGGCATTCCACAGACAAGGGCAGTGGAAGATGAATGCCCGAGGGACTTTTACCAAACTCTAGGGAGACACTGACCAGTTTGACCATGATTATTGACTGCGTTGGGGCTGGTCCCACAGTGGTGGGCAATAGGGACAATATTGCAGGACAATGTCCTGCCCTCATGGGACTCCCTCATCTGGTAGGGGGGAAAGGAGGATGTGTTTATCAAAAAGAGGTGAATGAATGAATACATAATTACAACATGTGATAAGCATGGAGGGAATGCAGTGAGCAATGGGGGTGGGGGGAGCCTGCACTCTTAATGGCTAAGGAGGCTAATGCTCCCTTGTGGCGCATTCGATAATCTTCTATCTCTTCTGTTCTGCCTTGGGTGAATCCTTTCACCACCTGTGCTGCCTGTCTCCACTGGGTCAGGTTGTCCCACAAAAGGGTTAGGACACAAAGGTGGATCTTCAGACTTGAATTCCTGCCTCCTTTCAATTTTTAAAAAGATTTATTTTATCTTATTTACTTTTTAAAAGATATTTTATTTATTTGAGAGAGAGAGAGTGCACAAGCAGGGGGAGGGACAAAGGGAGAGGGAGAGACACAGACTCCCCGCTGAACGTGGAGCCCAACACAGGGCTTGATCCTGCAACCCTAAGATCATGACCTAAGCCGAAATCAAGAGTCGGACACTCAACCAAGTAAGCCACCCGGGCACTCCAAAATCCTGCCTTATTTTGACTGCACCTTCCAGCTCAAAAGGATAAAAAGATGACAAGGGATTCATGCTACTGTTTCCACTCTGTACCTGGTGTAGCTCATGTGGGGCTCTCTTCACATCAAGGACTCATACCACTGCCTAGTAGGGTGGTGTAGCTTAGACTTTGCAAGTCAGCCCCAAGTGGTTATGTCTCTTGGCCAACAGACCTTGTTATCTTACTCGGTTCTTACTTGTTATTTTATTTGGCTAGTTTATTCTGGCTTCCCCCAGAAGCAAACCCTGACATGTAGTTTGTGTGAGTCGATCCTAGGAAATGCTGGTAAGGGTGTGGGTAACTGAAAGACATGCGGAGAGGCTGAGTTATCAGCCAGTCACCTCTGTGGGCCACCAGGACTTAATCCAATTGGGGGCCCTCGAGAAACTGTGGAAAACCCATCTCAGAATGAAGACAGCGAAAGTCCCTACCTCTTTGACATTGTTTTGGAACCAAATGGAACCTGCTTAGCCATGTGCGCCTGCAGTACTCCAGCAGACAGCTCTGTCATCTCTGCTTCTGATAGCTTCCCCTCACATGGCCGTCACCCCCCCCAGTCTCCCCCCCACCTCTGTTTTCTTCCTCTTGCCAGGTGTCTGGGTAAAATATCAAATTGTATTTCATTTTTGTATAAAAGAAATAAAGGGCAAATGTCCGAACTTTTGTATAATTCATATTATTATATTCTTTTAATGGAGCCATTATGATCAATTTTAAAAGTCCTTTAATAAGGGCTTTTAAATCCCCTTAATAATCTCCACAGGTGTGCCCATATGCTATTTAATCCTTTAAACATATTTCCCCCACAAGCACCAGTTTTAAAAATACCTTTAAATTTTTTTTCAATTTAATATAATAACTTTGAAAATTCTTCATGGGTATTTTGCTGTGCTTACCTCACTAGACTTAGTCTTTTTTTGGCTGTTCATCCGTCTGTTTTCATCCAACATTTATGTTCCAAGCCCTGAGCTGGGCAATCTTCCAAATCTACTCGTCTACGTGACTAGTTCACATAACTACCTTAGGAGACAGGTATTCTAATACCCATTTAGCAGGTGAGGGAATCGAGGCCATAGAGAAGCAGAATGGCACGCTGAAGGCCACACAAACTGTCACCAAGAGCTTCTGATTCAGACGAAAGACCCTCTCCCCTGCCTGTTCTCTAGGAGACACTGGAGAAAGGGTAAATGCACTGTTTCCCAGGCAGGTTTCTTTTATGGTGACAACCAGGAGTATATCAACAGTCAGAGGCACTCTTGCAGCTTGCGGGGAGCTGGCCCCAGAATGCACTTGGTGTGGGAAGGGGAGCAGAGCTGTAGGGGTGGTGATCTGCTTGGGAAGCTCACCACCTTAGAGGACACATGTTCAGCCAAATGGGAAAAAGGCAGGTCTGACCTCTCAGAGGGGGTGCCCACCTCTTTGGGTGCATGCTTCCCAGGCAGAGAAGGATCGGAGATGTGGCAGGTGCTCCCCGGGGGACCCCTTGCAGAGGCTTGTCCCGTCCTAAGTCTCAGTGCGCACTTCTGTCTCCATGGCCGATAATGTGGGAGGCTTTGGTCGTTCTGCAAGCCTCAGTTTCCCCACTTATAATCTGGGCACTTGACGAGCTACTTAGCATCTCAGTAAAGCCGCTGTAGCACTTACTTGGCACACGGTACGTTGTTATCATGATGAGGCAGCCATGCTTTGGAGGAGCACTGGCTTTGGAGTCAGAGAAACTCTTTTTTTTTTTGAGTCAGATAAGTTCTTTACTTACAGCCTGTGTGACCAAGGACAAGTCCTATCGATGGCTCTCAACTTTCTCATCTATTAAATGAGGACAGCTCCTACCTCTTAGCATTGTTTTGGGGATCCAACAAGAGTGCTTAAGCACCGTGTTGAACATGTTGTAAAGGCTCAGTGTTATCAACTGTTACAGCTATCATTCTTCCCATTATGCAATCACCTAGATGCTTGTAGAGTATTGACTATGTGCCAGATTCTTGAAAACTTTGCCTTTTGTGGGGTTTTCAATTATTTTAGGAAGGGAGTGATAAACTCCATGGGAGTTTGGCATCAGACATTGCTGATCTTGGACAAAGAAGAATTACAAGTCATCAGGAGTCGTTGGTCTGAACTGAGGGAGCAAAAGCAGTTTGCTCCTTTTGCTTTCAGAGATGCTGCAAAATCAGGCTTCAACTGTCCAGCCTCATTCCTACTTTCCATGTTGGGACGCTGAGGCCAGAGAGAAGTGAGACTCCCTGTTTCAGGCTTCCCAACTAGTAGGTCTGCTGTGTGCACTGTTCTTCCTGGGAATGCCTTGCTCCTGTCATGCTCAGATGGTGCCCACTGCTGGAAATGCGCCCAGGATCAGAGGGACCTCAGGGCACACGGGATATGGACAATTATTCAGCATGGACTTGGCCCTGAGTACGTGACATGTAAGCCGTGGCACCTTTCTTCCCTTCCTGCCAGCCTAACTACAGCTCAGGCATGTAAGCAGACAAGGTCCTGACCCAAGCCTGTGGTCTCGCCCACAAGGAGCGTGCCTCCCGAAGAAACGAAAGGGAGGCTTCTCCAGGAGGGGGCATGAGACTGGAATGTGTGTCTAATTAGATAGAAGGAGGAGGTCCCTTTACCCCCACCTATGCCTTCCATGGATGCTAGCCTTCCCTATTTTTTTATTTCTTTATTCTTTTGCTTATTTATCATGCTCTTTGGGGGGTAGGTAGTTTCTTTTGCTCACTGTCACTTTCCCCATAGCAAATTGTGTCCTTTAATAGATACTTGTTGGGTGGATGAATGGATGAAGAAATAGGAAATAAGGATCGTTAAATGGGTCTTTTAAGGGAGAGCAGAAATTCATTACACAGTCAAGGAACCGGTAGGGGGAGGGGCAGAACATGGAGTGGGCTTAGAGGGTGTCTGTTTGGGGGCAGCAGAGGTATGTCCACACAGGACTATTTAGAGCTGGGTGGGTCCCAGGCATCTGCGTTGCCCTGCTGGGGGGTCAGGAGTTTGTAGGCACGAGGTTTTAGCAGGAGGGAGGCAGATCAGGCTGTGCTCTGGAGAGTGGTCCCTGACACAGAGTGAAGCCGGGGTCGCAGAGCGAGAGTGGAGGTGGA